CGGAAGTGGCTTTAGCTTTTCAGTGCTGTGCTTTAACCCACTGCGCCACCAGGGAGGGCCCGATATTTGCATTTTTATTATGCAAACTATACTTAACATAAAAGGTACCATTTTAAGTGTACAATTCTGTGGCATTAATTATATTCATAATGTTGTATAACCACCACCACTGCCAAAACTTTTACATTGTTCCAAACAGAAATTCTGTGCCCCTGCAGTGGTAGTTCCCCAACAGCTTTGCCTCCCTCACTTTGTGACAGTCTCTTGGTAAATTCTATTCTACTTTCCGTCATAGAGTTTTGTCTATTCCAGAAACGCCATGTCATACAAGTGGAATCAAACAGTATTTGTCCTTTTGCCTGTGGCTTATTTTACATAGCATAACATTTTGAAGGTTCAAGCATGCTGTAGGATGGATCAGAAATTCATTCCTTTTTTACAGAAGCATATTACTCCATTATAAGCACACACCACATTTGTTTATCCAATCTTTTGTTGCTGGACAGTGGATAATTTCCACGTTTTGGGTATGCTGTCACGGAACAGTGGTATATGAGTATCTGTTTTAATCATTTTTCATTCTTTTGGGTGTATCACTAGATGTGAAATTGCTGGATCTTAGTTTATCTCTATGTTTAATTTTTTGAGAAACTGCCAGCTATTTTCTATACTAGCTGCAATAATGTTAAAGGAGGATTCTGTCTATTTTGAATGGAGCTTCTGGGATGTTTATCATGGTTTACCAGTAATGTTTTAATCTTTATCTGTTGGTGAAGCAGTCTCCAGGTATATGAAATAAGGTCTTCTATGGTACATACCTAGACACTGCGAGGATGAATTAGAATCCATTTGGCTAATGATCTCACATCCAAGGAGTTACTTCTATGAAGCCTCTACAGGCAATGCATAAAGCTAATTTTAAACTATACAACTGTATGTCAAATTTTCCAATGTATTCCGAAATGAGCCAATTCACGTACCTTATAGGCCTGGATGAGCATGTAGATTACCCCAGGGGAACCGTGGCACCAGTGGACCAGCAGATCTCGTGTATCATCCACACATGGAGGGTAGTTTCCAGAAGGGAACTTTAGCTGGCAGACATAGTCTACACTGGGCTTAACCAAGTTATGCAACTTCATAGTGCTTACTTGAAGACTGGGCTAAAAATGAGAAAGGGAATAATTAGTACTTCTGAAAACAAACTTATCTTCCAAAGTCATAGATATGAACCATATGCCAGAAAGAAAATATGACCAAAAGGAACCCGAAATTACTAAGGGGCTTTGGATTGGTATTAGGGTACTAGACAATATGACAATAAGGCTTGCAATACTTAGTTCAGAATGTAAACTAGGTTCTTTAGGGGACACACAGATTCACTTTACTGAGACAATACTATTCAAGTTCAGTTTACAGTGCTCAAGTACAATTAGAGAATTCTCAAACCTGCAGAAATTATCATAATATAGCATGTATATATATATATATAATGTTTTGTTTTATGTTTTATGATAACTAGGTACTTACTAGGAAGACTTTTAATTATAAAAATTAAGTCATTTTAAATATACAATAATCTACAAATGGAAAACTTAACACTTGGGTTTCCAGATTTCTTATTGCAGTATTAACAAAGGAGGCAGAGAAGATACTTTCTAATGAATTGCTCAAAGGCAGGTAAAAAGGCTGTCCAGTCACTAACATCTGTGATTCTAACTCACCTCGAACTTAAGGAAACATGAAATCTCTTTTCCTAAAAACACTTAAGAATCTGCATTTAAATATATAAGGCAATGTGTCTCGATTTTAAAAACCTCTAAAGACAGAACTTTTAATTGAGAAGTGAAGAAAAAATACAACACTTGGTCTCTTACTGTCAGTAAAACTCAAAGTGTGACTCTGTATTCAAAAACAGTAATAACCTTGAGGATTTCAGCTGTGTTGTCACTGTTTAGTTATAGAGGGAGGAAAGGTCTGACATTGATTTTGCATTATTACAGCCAGCTACTCAACCAGCTAGTCGCATGTATATCCAAGCATTCATATTGAACATATTAATGAAACACTTTTCTTTATGCCACACTGCACTTTGGGAAGTTAAGGGGGGGGGCACCTTTGCTGCCATTAAAAATCAATTTAATTTTACTGTGAATTCTTATTCACAAGTGCCTCCTTCTCCTTAAATATAGCTAAACAGGCTTCTGGAAATGGTGCTCTCATGAGAAGTCCTCTTCTGACCTCCCTTCCAGGTCACACTCACTGCAGTAAATTCTATTTGTCCTTAGTCTATTCGACTTTGGCTGGTTTTCCCCAGTAGTATTAGAACCTAAGAACTGTTGGGTATAGCACATTCAGCTATTTTTCAGGTAAGTTACACAAAATCATTGAAAAGGCTTTTTAGCTTTGTTCTCTAAGTAAGCCTTAGGCAACATATGCTCATTTGTTTTCTATTGATTTTGTTCTTACTCCTGGAATTTGTTTCAATGGGTTGTGCCTTGTAAGGTGGAATAATGCACTTCATTAAAGACAGGTGCTGGAAGAGGAGAGCAGAAAGCACTTCATGTGGCCATACAGGTTAGAACACTTCAGTTTGCACAAATAGCCACTGTAGCCAAGTGTGGTCACTTACAAATCAAACATCTGAAAACACAGTGCTCTTAATGTTTACACACTTTAAAATGCACCTCGACAAATATTAGTCTTGTTTCTCTAGGCCAGGCGTAATAAGGAGCATGATGCAGTGGCTAATAGAATAACAACAAAAAAGAAATAGAGCTGAAGTACCTGTTTTCTCATCCAAAACTGCACAGTCAGGAAGTACAATTTAAAGTCTCACCATCATCCCTTCTTACCTGCATCAGGTAGTAATAAATTCCTGCTAGGCCATGAGCAGCACCTACATAGTATTCTTGATACCATTCGTACATCAGTGGAGTCTTTGATGTGAAGTTTCTTTTTCTAGCTAGGTTTTCTCCAGAAATTAAGACAGTTTCACAAATCTATAGGGAAGAAATTGACCAAAAATAATGAGGGAATTAGAATACAGACCCTCCTGCTGAAGAAAAGGAGCTTTTTGTAAAGAGATACTGGGGAATGTAGTGAATGATCTACCATCTTAGAATGGCAGAGTTAAACCATCACCACAGGAGAGCGTAGTTGAATTCTGTGCTCACAGAGAAGAGGCATGCGTGTTCTACCTAAAAGGGGGAGTGTAATGGGATATCTTGAACACACCTCTCTAGCACCCACAAAGGGAAAGCATAAGCTCCCTCAAGCACAAAAGAAGACATCCACACCTGGAAAATGAACTTTGACTCTCAGTACCTTCGGAAAGGGGCTCTCAACTCTCCAGTTGAGCAAGCTGCCTTCCTTACACTGAGTCTTCCTACTTACTGATTTCCAGCAGCACAGAGCTTGAAGTTTCTGGTTCACTGCCTGACCTTCAGAGGTCAAGATACACCTTCTTTTCACTTGGAGTGTGCTAATTAGATACAAAACCAACAGCTTGGGCATATAATAAATGCAATCCTAAAAATACTTCACGTACCTCCTGAATATGGTTTTGAGGGATCTTTTCCTCTCCAAAGTTCTTATTCACATACAGCAGAGCATAGACGTAGCCCATTCGTCCATACAGCAGTTCATTTGGAGCGTGGGGATCAATCTTCTTTAGGTGCATCAGTCTAGAGATAAAAATGCACAAACAGGATCAGGTTTGTTTTTTTACACACTTAAAAATGAAACATTTAAAAATATATATAAATATGTTAAATTATCAAATATAAAATATATGTTGATATACAACTGCTTAAAGATAGTTATAGCTTATAAATTATGCAGTATTATTCATATTCAGTGGATGGGGCTAGACCCCAACAGTAGTCAGGGTTCAAAGATCAACTCTCAACTAAATTTCTTTAGTTCACACAAAGTAGGAGAATGAAAACTCAAGAAACTCAAAGAACCTCATGCAAGTGCATACCTGAGGCTACCTGGAGTCTTCCGAGTTCTTTAGGGAGACATGCTCTAAAACTAGTATTTTAGCAGCTGGGATCAGAGAAGCCAAGAACAGCTGGCTTTTATAGCATTCAACCTGAGAATGGATTAATGTAGCCCTACTTTTGTAAAATAAAGTGTTTACATGATGTCAGTTTTTTCCTCCAAATATATTAGTAATATGTTTTGTCTTTAAGACAAAACATATCACTAATATGTACTATATAAATTCTAATATCTGATATAATGTAACATAAGTATGCATTAAAAAGGAAACAAAAGAATATGTCTATTCAGGAAATAATATACTGAAACAAAGATTAGGTAGAGCATCATATTCATGTTAAACAACCCTGAACCCCTTGTTTTACATTTGCCCATGAACATGTTAACAAAACATCACTGTATGTGAAAAAGATTGGGGGAGATTTTTCATGTATATACTTAAAAAACAGGAATATGAATAATTTCTTCTTTCAATATAATATACCTTTAAAAGTCTAGCTGTTCTATAACATGGACGAACCTGAGGTTATTATGCTAAGTAAAATAAGGCAGTCATAAAAAAAGCAATTTTGTATGATTCCACATAGATGAGATAATTAAAGTAGTCAAAATCATAGAAATGGAAACTATCTGGTGGTTGACAGGGTTCTGGATTCTTGGAAAATGGAGGGTCATTTTTTAATAGGTTAATAGTTTCATTGTTCAAAAAAGAGCAATAGAGATAGATGGTGATGATGGTTACAAAACATTAAGAATGTATTTAATGCCACTGGACTATACACTTAAAAATGGTTAATATGGCAAGTTTTATGTTATGTATATTTAAAACATATAAATAATTAAATAAAACTGTAAAAACGAAGTGTAAATTCTAGAAGTGAAAAATGCAAAGTTTAAAATAAAAAGTTACTGTATGGGCTTAATAGAAGAATGAATGTTACAGAAGACAGTGTATCTGAAAACAGATCATTATTATTCAATCTTAAGGACAGAAACAAACAAAAAGGCTAAAAGAAAACCAAACTAGTCTTAGAAACTGGTAGAATACTATGAAAAGACCCAACATAGGTATAATTGGAACACGAGAAAGAGGCTAGATCAGAAAAAATATCTGGAAAAATATTCTAGGTCTTTGATAGGGGTCTAGGTTACCATGACATATGCCTTTATCAAAATTCAACATTTAAAACTTGGCAACTTACTGTGTATAAAGTTTACATGTAAAGAAAACTGTGAACAGATACTGAACTCTAGTGTGCAATTTACAAAAATGCACCCTAGTTGTTCTAAGTATAAAGAAATCTTGAAAAAAATAATTTTAAAATTTTATCATATTCATCTATCCACTCCTCTCCATTTTTTTAGAACTGTGGTGCAGGCCAGAGGTGAGGTGTGGGGGCTGTGAGAGGCTTCATCAGAGAGAGTGGGGAACAGTACAAGTGGATTTACTGAAATATATTGCTGAGGGGAACAGCAGGTGAGACAGGAGGGGTCTGCTGCACCACATGGGTCAGCTCCCTGGCTGGGATTGAACTGAGACTTGGGTGGTGATAGTACTGAGAGTTAACCCCTAGGCCACTAGGAGGCCCTAAAGAAAATTTTAATGGTAGAATCTACGTGGCAGTTCTAAAGGGATTCATCATTCTATCAACTATTATATATTTTTGAAAATTTTTTTATAATAAAATTTTGAGGGGTAAAAAAAGTTATTATAATTTTAGGCCAAAAGCTTGCTGATGAACCTTATACATGATTCAGTAATTCCACTATGTATATGAAAATACTAATTTTAAAAGATATCTGTAACTTATGCTCATAGCAGCACTACATGCAATAACCAAGATATGGAAACAACCCAACTGCCTGATGAGGGATGACTACATAAAGAAGCTATGCTGTGAGTGTTCATATATACATATCTCTCTCTCCATATATCTCAGTGTATGTATGCACACATATACAATGCAATGATACTAAGCCATTAAAAAGAAAAGATGAATGTTTGCCATTTGGGAAACAAAGATGGACTATGGGGATAATGCTAAATGAAGTAAGTCAGAAGGAGAAAGATAAATATCTTATTAAATGATATTAATGGAACAGAAAGACACAAAATAAAAACAAATCCTTACCCTTAGACGCTGATAGGTAAGGGCTGGAGAGGTAGGAGGCTGATGGGTGGGTAGTGCCCAGGTAGTGAGCATGGTGTGACATATATACTTGCCAAGGGACAAATGATACACATGCACCTTTACAGCATTGTAAATAAATGTTGCCATTAAAAACAATGGTAAAAAAACTGCCAAAACTTGGGAACAGTCAAGGTTCAAGTTGTCCTTCAATAGGTGACTGGGTAAATAAATTGTGATATAATATATCCAGACAATGAAATATTACTAGCAATGAAGGGACATGAGCTATCAAGACATGGAGGAATCACAAATGAATATATACCTAAGTCACAGATGCCAATCTGAAAATACTATGTTTTGTATGATTATAACTATGTCACCTGCAAAAAAGACAACTATGGAGATGGTAAAGCAATCCAGTGGTTACCAGGGGTTGGGGGGGCGAGAAGAAAGATTAGCAGGCACAGCAGGGAGGATATTTAGGGCAGCAAAACTTGTCTGTGTGATGCTATAATGATGGATACATATCATTACACATTTTTCCAAACCCACAGTATGTACACCACCAAGAGTGAACCCTAATGTAAAGTACGAACTTTGGGTGATAACAGGTTCCTTGATTATAACAAGTTGCACCTTTCTGGCTGGGAGACCATTAACACAGGGGGCTGAGTCTGTATGTATAGGGCAGGGGTACTGAGGAAATCTGACTTCCTTTTAATTATATTCTGAACTAAAAACTGCTCTGCAAAGTAGTTTATTAAACAATACAACAAAACAAAAAACCCATGTTAGAATTGCAACTCTCGGAATATTCACATGGTATGGAGAGCTGCAAGGCCGTCCGCAGCCTTAGGAGACTCCTAAAAGTGTTCACTAAACTCTAGTAAGGCAAAGATTGTAGCTTACTCATATGTAAGTACAGTAATTCTTCATAATTCACAAATTTCCAGTGGGTTGCCTTGATTTGTATTAAACATTTGGCTATCCTTTCTTTCTTTCTTTTTTTTTTTTTTGAGATTTATTTACTTGTGCATACAGAACTGGGGTGCAGGCCAGAGGCTCAGGGGCGGTGAGAGGCTTCACCAGAGACAGAGTGGGGAACAGAACAGGCAGATCGACGAAGTACACTGCTGAGGGGAGCAGCGGGCAGGTCAGGAGAGGTCTGCCACGCCATGTGGTCACCTCTGGGGCAGGCGGGAATCGAACTCATGCGGAAGCGGCTTTAGCTTCTCAGTGCTGTGCTTTAACCCGCTGTGCCACCAGGGAGGGCCTATCCTTTCATTTTTTAAACATCCTTTTTATTATTTCCCAGTATAGGATTTCTCCCTTCAGGCGTGTTCACCATAGTGTTCCCACCACCAAAATCTGCACAATCCTCTTTCACACTCCTTTGATTTCTATGGTTCTTGCCCCTAAGAAACAATTTTGAATGTGCTGCCTTAGGAAGCCTCTCCCAGACCGCAGCAGGAAGCTAACAACATTTCTTCAAATTACTGGTCCTGGAGAACACCTTGGCTAAGCAGTCACATTATTAGGCTTTGACCTTATTTATGTTACTCATCTGATGCTTGGTCTGGAGCATGTCAGTGTCATGTTTTACAATTAAAAAGGAACTATTATAGTTGTTCCTTAGCTACAATATGGGAATAATAACTGATCACACCACAAAGTAGTAAACTGTATTGCCGAGAGAAATGGAAATACACTAAAATGTTCTTTTGTTAACACATACAGAATCAATGCATAATATCTGAATAATTCTCAAAAAGAAACTACCTTACCGGGTGATGCAATCTTCTGCCTGCCTCTCATTGTTCATCTTGTGATACACCACAGCAGACACGGCCAGGGGGCCTGCATCCCCACAAAGGAAGGTGATGGAACGCTTGGACAAGTAGTTCAGGCTTTGCTTTACATAGCCATGTGCCTTCTGTAGGTAGGCAGGATCCCCGAACACATCATAGAGATGTAAGTAAAGCACAGCAATGCCTGAAAAAGCAAAGAGGAAGTGAGGAAAACTAACATTATTTTGACATGTTGCTCACTCTGCAGTGTTAATTTCTGATAAGCTCAGAAAGATAAACTCTGGAAGCTCAGATAAATTAGTTCTAGACTAAGTTCTATTACTAAGTAGTTCTAAGAACCGATGTTTTCACTTTCTTCATCATTATAATTCTAGTAGGAACTCTAAGAACATTAAATCCTAGTTTATTATTCTTGCTGTACAATGGTCATTGTATTATGTATGCTTCTCAGTGGTTAAATGATAGATCCCAAATAAATAGTCTTCTATTGAACAAAGAATAATTTATATAATAATAAACAAACATGTTTTTTCTGTTCTTGTGGTTGAAAGAAAATCACAGACTAGGGAATAAAAAAAAATACTCTCAATTTCTCTCTACACAGAAGATAATTTTTGTGTGAGGAGGCAGGGATAGTAACCAAAACCCTTACCATGGTATTGTTCTAGGTAGAGATTATAAGAAGACAATTTAGTTAGCTGAGACCTGAAAAATATATTCTATTCCTGTTTGCTTGTTTTCTTCTGTCAACTACTCAGCCATTTCAGGAATTACACTATAAACACTGCCAGTGATTTTTGCTTGGGGCCTTATTCGATGTGCTTCTTGTTCTATTCCTGAAGGCTGCAATATGTAACTGAGGCGCTGTCTGCATGTCCTACTCTAAATGCCTGTCACAGTAAATGGAGCCTTCCCTCTGACAGACACCCTGACTGGTCTCAGGGCATACTCAAAGTTGAGGAGTAGGGAGCTTGCCTGCCTACAGCATTTCCAAAGACTCATTTCGCCTCTTGAAGTACATTTTCCATCTCATTTACCATTTTTAGAAGATACAGATTCTGTTTAAATCTAAATTAATAGAGCCAATCTCTTCATGGATTTCAATGCAGTAAAAATACAGACTGCAAAATTACTTTTCACTATACTGAGGACAATTTTAAATTTAGATCGTTTTTTTCATTTTGCATGAGTAATCTCTAAAGTTTTGTGCTATAGACAATTCAATTTCACATGTACATTAAGACTAAATTTTCATTTCCTGCCAAACTTAATAATCCTGTCTGCTCTTTCAAACTAGCTTGCTGTTAGTAATTCCACAAGTTGATGATCAAATGTGCCAATGCTTAAGGCTTGTAGACATAAGTGTACAAAACCACGTATGTGGGTAAGGAAAAAAAAAACCTTTTCACAAACGATCAATGTCAAGAGCTTCTTCTAGAATTAGTCTTTAATAGGCTTCATCTCCATCCATACGGGGCATCTGAAGGCAATCTGTTTAAATTGTTATCCTTTCATTCTGCTCTCCCAGTCTCATCACTGCCTCAACACCCCCCTAATTAAGTTATATAAGCACCAAAGCCAGATAATGACATGACTGAGATCTGAGAAAATAAAACAAGATTCAAAACAAGTTCAATGATTGTTTTCCTTTTCAGACCTTTGTCTCTCATTATCAACAACTCATCTTTACTAAACAAAACCCATCAAGCTTAAGCCACAACCCATGAACGTTTGGTTAATAAACAAAGTTTGGTTTACTAAACAAAACCCATCAAGCTTGCAAGTTAAGGCTTGATGCATTTCTCATGAAAAACAAGTAACTGAGAGGTCTCACATTATTTCATTGAGATGAATTATTGTATCTCTTTTTTTTTAATCAGCAGAGATCCAGCTTCTGGGCCTCCACAATCTCAGGTTCCATTTCTCTCCTCATTCAGGGCCCCGGAGGTGTCTGTATTTTTATTAACCAAACTTTCATGGGTTATGGCTTAAGGTGTCTACTTTCACTGTCATAAAACTCCCATAATAAAAAGGAACGCTAATGCCAGTTAAGAAGAATTTCCTGGACAAGCTTATTATAAATCTGGCTAAGTCAGGAAAAACAAGACAAAATACCCAAGTCAAAGGCATTTAATGCCTCATCAATATTTTAAACACCAGGTATCCTAACTTAGTAAGGGGATAAAAATGGGGAATTAGGTTTGGTCAACAGTCTTAACTTGATCTTATGGCCTTCCATCCTTTGACAATATTCATGCATCTAGCAACTTCTTTGCAGAGATACCAAAGACAGATGACTCAAAGTAGGAAATAAACACAACCTCAAAGGCAGGGAAAAACTCATTCAGTTCTCACATATATTCCTGATCTACTTATGTTTTAGGAAACTTACAATTTTTATCAATACAAATAGATTCTTTATGAAAAAAGTCAAATAGCATTGCAAGGCACAAAGTATAAAACGTCATTGCCTAGATGTCCTAGAGACAACTACTTTCAACAATTTCAGCTATTTTCTCTGGCATTTGTTTCTGTATTTCCAGCAATATGCTTATGTGCTGTGTGTTGGGTTTTCTGTATCAGACATTTTTGACTTACATTCTACTCTGCAGATGAAGATTTAACTTTGTGATAGGCCGCTAAATGATGTTCCAAGTGTATCTCCTTTCCCAACAACAATGCACTTTTCTTTAATTATTTTAAAGATTTATTTATTTATGAATACAAGAACTGGGGTACAGACCAGAGATGCAGGGGGTGAAAGGATTCACCAGAGACAGAGCGGGGGGCAAAACAGGCAGATGGGCTGAAATACATTGCTGAGGGGAACAGTGAGTGGTCAAGGGAGGTCTGCTATGCCAGGTGGGTCAGTTCCTTAGCCAGAGATCAAAAACAATGCTGCTGGGGCTGCAAATTGCTTCATAGTGCTATTCTTTAACCTACTGCACCACCAGAGAGGGCCCAGTGCCTTGCATTTGACAGGCACATGATTTCCCAGAAGTCTCCTTTGCAGTTGGGTAAGATCATGTGACTAAATTCTGAAGAATGGGACATAGTGGGAGTAAAGGGGGCAACATTTCTCTGGGATGAGGTCGGTAAAGCAACAGAAGCAAAGAACCTTAGATTCTAGAAGACTTTGAAACTACCACAGAAGTTTCTGGATTGCCTACTAATTGCCTACTAGCACAAGAGAAATTCTGTCTTGTTAAACCACTGTTATTTTAGCATTCGGCTGGTAAGAAGTTCTTCAAAGCTGGAGAAGCTGAATCACATAGGATTTCATAAGTCAGCTCAGGATTTTGAATTTTACTTGAAAAACATCATTTTAAACATGGGAAGAACATAGTTAGATCTGAACTTTAAAAAGTTCACCATAGTTGCGCTGTTTTGTGGAACTGTGGCTGTAGAAGAGCAAATATATGGATGTTTCAGGAAAACAAGGGTTGTGCTGCAGTAGAGAGGAAACAAGACTGAACTGGAAAGACATCTCCATGGAAAGTAAAATCAACAGAACCTGCTGGAAAAGGACTGAGAAGACAATACCAAGACAACTCCCAGATGTCTAGCTTCAAGAGCTTGGCAATAATGGTGCCAACCATAGAGATGGCAAACATCTTAGGAGATGGCCAGGTTTGGAAGGAAAGATTACAGTTGTATTCACTTAAAAGCTTATTTTTGCTAAAAGAACAGTTAATATAATGAGAAATGACAATGGTTTCTAGGATAACAACTATCAAAACTGGTCACAAGGTTGACAAAAGATGATATATGGAGTTTAATTTAATCGTTTTAGCATATTCTTTCTCATCACAGATTATGCTACTTAAGAGTATTTTTGGGCTTAAATAGCAGATAATTTTTTTTTCAATACTGTTAGCAAAGCAAAAATTAGAATGGAGAGTTCTACCATTTTATCTTTTTTTTTCAGGTAAGATTTGAATGAGGTTAAAATTGAGATTGCAATTAAATATAAATCTGATTCAAACTGCCTTACATTTGTTTTTTAAAATTAAAGCCTTTCTCACTTTGTACAAATCTGAATGTTCACTGATATAAAAATGTAAGTTAATTATTCTCCAATTTTATATTTGATATAAGAAATTTATCAATCTAAAATTTATTGATGGGCCCTTCCTGGTGGCGCAATAGCTGCAAGCCAGCCGCAGCTGCTACAGTGTGAGTTCCATCCCTGGCCCCGGAGGTGACCCACATGGCACGGCAGACCTCTCCTGACCCACCTGCTGCCCACCTTAGCAGTATACGTCATCCATCTGCCTGTTCTACACCCCACTCTGGTGAATCCTCTCACCCCCTGCACCTTTGGCTTGTACCCCATTTCTGAATGCATAAATAAATAAAAATCTTAAAAAAAAGAATTAAAAAACAATAAAGTTTGATACAAAATTTAAGTTAATTCTCCAATTTCTTATTTGGCATGCTCCATGATTACTATCATGAGAGCTATAAAACTAATGCCTTTTGAGCTAAATATTCTGACCTGAATATCTTGCTAGATTTACCTAGATAGTAATAGCATCACACAAAGAATGACATGCTTTGCTTGGAAGTGCTACCTGTCACTTCCACCTGCAGTCTCTGGATCAGAATAGGTAGGCTCCCCTAGTCACAATGACTCTGGGAGGTGTAATACTCCCAGAATCCCAGGGGAATACCAGACATGAGCAGGCAGTGGATGAGTCTGAGGTGGAGCATGGTCGGGAGGAGCAGAGGAGTCTAACCTTTGATTGGTCAGGACTGGAATCCAAGTGGAGCGGGTGAGGTGAGGAGCAGTTGGCTATGTGGGTCTGGAATTTGGGGAAGAGAGCTGGTCAAATGTTCTCCAAATGGTGGGGAATATGTTGACAAGAGTGAGTGGTTCCCTGGTGCGGTGCAGGAGCAACTGGGCTAAGGAGACTGGCAGTTGCTTTTAATTAAAAAAAAAAAAAGAATTGACTTTCTCTCCTCTGAGGCCAGAAGAAACTCAGACATACATTAGTTTATTTTTACCACTCTAGAGCTATGTTTGGTTGTGTGACTAGTTTTCAATAAGCAGCCTCTAACCGTGTCTACAGAAATTTAATTAAAAAATAAAAATAAAAATTCAGCTTCTCAGTCACATTCATATTCCAAATGCTCAACAGTCATTGTGGCTGGTGCTTGCTGTAATACGCAGCTAAGTGCCTT